TTTACGGAAATTTTTTAAACAATTCAAATAATCATCAAAGTTAATTTTCGTCTCTACAACATTCATCTTAACCCCTTTTGACTTTTTAACATCTTTCTCTCCAGCCACTTTATATGTATATTGCTTTAAACGAAGACCTACGAAGTGAGTCATGATTTTTGAGATATTCTCATCCTTCATTAGACCGGGCACTTTTTTATTTACTAAAGAAATATTCCAAAGATTCTTTGGAGGATAATCGCTTGTATCAAATCTATGAATGTCAGTCTTAATCATTTCCTCGTATATGTCATTACATTCAGTTTCATAAATCAGCCCATCAGTATCCATATAAAGTAATTTATTTTGATTTAATGGGAATTTTTGTAACATATAGTCATAATGAAATTCATATATGCAGATTTTAGAAAGTTCTAAGATTGCAATTCCAACATACAATGGTTTATTAAAAACAATTTCAGTTTTCTTTAATTCTACCGCCATTAATGATTTATCGAAAATGACGCAACTATGAAACTTTGGGCTAGCAATTAAATTGAGCACCTACGCGCCCCTCCCATTTATTTACTAATCTCACGAGCCTATGCTTCCTCTGGTTTTCCATGGTTTTTCCAAAAACAACATTGTTCATTAGTTTGTATAAGTTTTTCTCAAAGCTTGTTTTAGCTTGAGCCCTCAATTGTGTATTAAGAGCAATGTAACCTTTTAACCAAGCCATTTGCTTAAATCTCAATACCTTATGAATTTTAGTAAGAACTAATCTATGTGATATAGCTTGTTTTAGGTTCCTGTATTGAATAACGTAGTTAGTTTTATTGTATAGAGTGGACAAGAGTTTAGATTGTTTGGAACCAGGAGGTTTGCAATGTTCTACACAAAACGGTAGATCTTTAGGGTAGTCATGTAAGTTTGTTGGGTGGGAGAGATCAACTTCAAGAATGTATCCCTCTTCTGCATCGTCAGGTATTGACATAACATCGATATTTGTATCAACCCAATGGAAACCGCCATATGGAAAGAATTGCGACATCGCTCAACCATATAGATTATTAACATCAAGGTATATAATATATTTAGAAGCTTTAGATGGATCGTAATTCATCATGTATTTGTTGTTAGCCTCACCCATACCGTTACAACACTGTGATATACCTCCACGTATACCTCCTTTATAGAATAAAAGCATATCGACATCTTGTACAGTTTCTAAGTGACATCCTGTGTACTTGAGCATTGCATCCCATGTGAAACCTGGGATGGTATAATAGTGTCCTGGATCTAACCCAGATTTTTTGAAGTATGTGTCTCGAAAAGTTTCGAAAACTACAGCCAAAAGAAGTATATCTGGCTTTATGTAAGTAGAATAGGAGGCGGGTTGGCCACCCCTTCCACTCCCACTCTGACGTCAACACGCTCAAGCCCACTGTGACGTCACTCTGACGTCAACACGCTTAAGCCCACTGTGACGTCACGCGTCGGCCCACACAACAGCTTACTATTATATGTATAAACTAATAGGTATCGTTCACAGGTATGTGAAAAAAAAACTGTCCAGCAACCTGCATAATACGTTATAAATGAAGGATAAAAAATAATCTATGTTGTTTGTATTTGAGTAAAATAGAAGCATACGGAATGTGTGTATTATTGCTTTGTTAGATGTACGAAACAAATGTTTACTTTCGATAGGATTATTTTTAAATAAAGAGTCTTATTTATATGAAAGACTGTTAAAAGAAACATCAAGATAAAGGCGTCGGCTGCGATATACAAACCGCAGAGGATAATGCAAAAGTAAATAGCCGTATAACGTCAAGGTTGGGGATATGGGTATTGCAACCATATTTTTATTTAAACTTGTGTGTTAAAAATGAAAAGCCGCAAAATCAAAGTACGATAGCTGTTAAAATGTCTGAGGAAAGTAATAAAATGTTAAAATTTAAGAATTTTCGTAATAACACTATCGGTTGGTAATGCTCGATTTCTGGACAGTCTTAATTACTTTCCAATGGCGTTGTTTGCTCTGCCCAAGGCTTTTGGGTTGGTAGAATTGAAAAAAGGATATTTTCCTCATCTATTTAACAGGGCGGAAAACCAAGATTATAAAGGATGTTTACCAGATGTTCAGTACTATGGACCCCACCCGATGAAACCAAAACAGAGGGCTGAATTTTTAAAATGGCATGAGGCCCATAAAAACGAGGATTTTGATTTACAACGGGATCTACACCTTTATTGCGAATCTGATGTAGATATTTTTACGAAGCGACTGACAGAAGCTGAAAGGCCTAAGAATGATTCGAAAGCACAGCTAAAGACAGCAAAAGTACTACCGAAGAACCTGAAAACACCAAGCTGTAAAAGAAAGCCGTCTTCAAAGGCAGGCAAAAAAATTGAACAAACCGGAAAAAGGTAAAGAGCGTACCTTCTCCAACAGACTATGGAAATCTATGGTGATGAATGGTGATGAATAAGCAACCGTAAAAACTAATAGATAAACTACAGCCATAAGCTCTTATAAACAAAAAAATAGCAGGACATGAAGGCTGAAAAAGGAACAGGAAAAGCAGGTATTCCCACCAACCACCCCTGTCAGACAATAGCCGACAGTACAACATCTCGTTCAAAAAATAAGGTTAAATATAGGAAAGAACAAATGGGTATCGACTTAGACTTAGAGAAAATATCTCCAAATCTTTTTAAACGAGCAGTCGCTAAACTATGTCTGAATAGCCTATGGGGTAAGTTTGGGCAACGAATGAATATGAAACAGACAGAGTATGTTGTGGACCTCAAAAGATGGTACGAAATATTGCTCGATGATAAAATTAACATGACTAATGTGATATTTGTTAACGATCACATAGCCCAAGTCTCATATGATTACAAGGACGTATTTGTAGAAGACCCCACATCTACAAATATTTTTGTGGCTTTATTTACGACAAGTAACGCTCGTCTAAGACTGTACGGTATGCTTGATAGGCTAGGAGAAGCTGTAGCTTATTTCGACACAGACTCCGTTGTTTATATTGATGATGGCCTAAACACTGTCGAAACAGGTGAAATGTTAGGCGATTGGAGCGATGAGCTTGAGTCAGATGATTATATTATAGAATGGTATGCAACTGGTCCAAAAAGTTATTACTACAAAACAGACAAGGGTAAAGAGGTGACTAAAATCAGAGGTTTTACTCTAAACTACGAGAACAGCCTAGGACTCAACGCCTCAGCGCTGAATGATATCATACACGATCCCACCAAACAAATCACCTTACAGTATGACCAGATATGCAGCGATGTCCACACTAAAGCCATAGTGACGAAAAAAAGGGTATCGAAGACATTCAAGATGAACTACAAAAAGCGAAAAAATTGTACATAATGATGAGTGTATGGATACGTTGCCTCTAGGTTTCAAGACCTCTTAGATATATTTAACTCACACTGCGGAATCTCTTCATTCACAGTTGAACACTTATAGAGTACACACGTATCAAAATATGGTCCGTATAATGCTCATCAGCGCACTTTTCAACTATGCTGTGAAAACTATGTAGGTGGTGGCCTTAATCAAGACTCTTTGAAAAAGAAATTAGAGTCTGCTCTTAACGATATAAAAAAACAAATTGGCTATAAAAAGGGTGACAGAATACGTATTGTGGCATTAAATGACAATTTAATCAACCTATTTCGACAGCCACTAGTGTAGATGTCAATATGGCAAAGATGTTAGAACAAATTGAAAATGTTGCTAGTTCCAATGCTTACATACAGCTTAAGAATACGAAATTCGATATTCAAATCTTAAAAATGCCTCGCTAATTACTTTTTATGTAAAATGAGTTGCTTTGAAAATTATCATTCAATTTAAAAACATCGACAATATTCAAAATTTCAGAATGTTATCTTATTTTCAATGTTAAAAAATGCTATCTTCCGTTTTTAAAAATATTTCAGAGCTACTGTACTTTTGCGTAGGCTATATTTTGACACCATCCACGCTTTGTTTACGAAGAATATCTACATATTAAAGTGTAAAAAAACCTTTTCGCTTTAATCCCTGATAACCCTCCCGAGAGTCAGTACTATTTAGTCAGTGGTAGACTACCCATAAAGTACAGAGGCAAATAGTGGGTCCTTCTCTTAAATTCAACTCTAACAAAATCTTGAAAGCATCACTTGAAATGGTGATGAATATGCAGCTGGAAAAACTAATAGACAAACTATAATCATAAGATATTATAAATAACACAAAAAAAATAACACGACAGGAAGTTGTTCTCATCTGCAGTGTACAGGTCAATACCGTGAGTTTTTATCGTTCCATATTAAGGAGACCTGATTGTTGTATGTGTGTGTAACCATAAAGGATGAAACGAGTGAAGTAGAAAATCTCATATACTTTAAATGTGTCGTAATCAATGTAGTAAAAAATAAATCTTTATAAAAAACACACATATAATTTATCCATTAAACCCTTGTTGAGTTGAATACTCGACTTAGAGCTGCAACCACAAATATCTTTGAAAAAAATATGTTCAAATTAATTAATAATACCGTGTTCGGTAAAAATAACCATCTTCTGCATAAAAATCATAATCTTACTAAAAAAGGGGTAATATGCTTTACGATTACATTGATTCGTTTAAAAAAATATTGTTCAACATATACAGCCACGGCGAGGCTCGAGATAGGTTTTAAACAAAATTAGGAGAACGTCAAGAACCACAGGAAATAGACTGATTAAGTTATTACATAATTTTATGTTACTATTTTTTGACATATTGTATAATTTAGTCATATAGACAAACAACACGCGTAATAGGTCCTATACGTGTTGAAACAGACATAGCCAGCAAAATGAATATACCTGAAAAGACTAACCAATTTTTGACAATTATCGAAATACAAAATTGTCGAATACTGGCGAACAAGAATTTTTTCAAAAAAACAAAAGATGTTTTCACGCCTACTGCCAACAATGCTATAATGATTCTCTAATGATTTAATGGTTCTATTATCTGTATTTTTTTATTGTAAAAGTGTAAAATAATAACAAACATGAAATTTTTTAAAATTTTTATTTTGTTTTTTTTTTGTTTTTTTGGTGGTGGGATCGTTGAAGGGGTTAGGATCTCGTCTTTAGGATCCCGCTCCTCCTCCTCTGCCTCATGTTCCTCCTCATCCTTCTCTTCAATATCGCTGTCTAACCTGAAACAAAAGACACATTATAATATACATATTTCAACACCTACAGATCTGGGTCGCCCACGAGTTCCAGGATGTCTCTGTAAAGCAATAACAATAATTATAAACGTAATAAAATAACGTTATATACATAACATATTAGCTGTATCTTTATACTTACAAATCGTCTATATCGCTCCCCAGGCTGAAAATGTAAAAATTATTTTATGCAAAAAAATAACAAGAGTAGATTTACTTACTCATATAGACTAACGTTTCCCGGCGATATGCAGCTGTAAAATTTAGAAATTAATTTAGGAAAGTATAAACGCCAATGTACTTACTCTTCTTGTTGTACCTCTGGATGGTTAAGGGTGGTCTCCTCGGTTTGTATCCCCTTGGACACCAAGGAGGCCCCTCTGCTTGAGTTACCCCCTGCATCTTATGTTTGGCGTAGTATCTAAAATGTTCTTACACAAATAATACTCAAAAGAATATATATATTTTTGTAACTTACTTGATAGTCTCGGGGCAATAGCAGAAAAATGAATCACACTTAAAGCAGATCATGTTGTATGGTTGTGAAACAGCTTGGTAGGCCTTATATATTAGCTTAAACCACGAATATTTTGTTATGCTGCATTTTATGAAAAACAATCGTGGTTTTTTGTTATGATGCGTTTATGAAAAAACAATATCGGTTTGCAGCGGTCTAACTATATTTTTGTTTGATACATTTTCCCCTATTATCTGGAGGTAAATCAATACTTTTAATAAACAATTGGTTAAGGTAGTTTAAAAAAAATCCATTTTAAATAAAACAATTTTTCAAAAGTGTGGTAAAGTGTCCGCTATCACCATTGCCCTTGCATTTGTGTGTTGCACCTTTACCTATTATCTGCGGGTGTATCAATGCTTTGATAAATAGTTGGTTAAGTCAGTATAAAACTGCTTCTGTTATCATTACTGTTTTTTCCGTTTTGGTAGGTTTAATCAATGCAGAAGCTTGCATAACACGATCAACAACAGATTCTGTGGTTAGATATACGTTTACACAAAAACAAGTCTTAAGATCAAGCCTTGATACTAACCCACCATATACATACTATGAAAAACCTGCTCGAGGGCATTGAGTACTATTTAGTGTCTACAACCAGAAGCACCAACACGGTGCCTCCAGGTATGTATATTCTTATTTTCTTATAATATTCCTTTTTTATTTTGTACATGACTTTTTTTATTTTATACATGGCTATGTCTACTTATAAATATTACTTACCTCTTTACTGTTTACTGCTAATTTAAAGTACTCGATAGATGTTTTAAGCTTTCTGTTCTATACTTCTTATATACTTATTATTTATAAACATTTACTTAAAAATAAAATTCATCTATTGCCTTTACCCTTGTCAACTTTTTAATAGTGGAATCAGGTGGTCGTACTTCTGTTGGTGAATACTTTCTATAGTTATTGTTAGACCCTTGCTGTACATTTTCACAAGCACGTTGTTGTACATTGAAATACGCGAGCTGGGAATCTGTGTTTGATTCTGGTATTTTGGTGGTTTGAATCTGGCAAGCACATGTTGCTTGCCAGATCGGATGAGGTTCTGTGAGACAGTTACCTTTTTTAGTTATTCAAGCATTCTATATAACCCTTGATGTAACTTAAGTATACGTCATGGCTTCCATAGTTATAAACATTGAGATGTGTAAATACATTCGTAATTTTTCGTATTTTAAATACATACTTGATTCAAAACATAATTCTTTACAACTAAAAACCACCTTGTTTTTGTTAAAAAATAGTTTCTCTTTACATCTTTATCGTACTTTTCGTTTGCGGCTTTTCATTTTTAACACACAAGTTTAAATAAAAATATGGTTGCAATACCCATATCCCCAACCTTGACGTTATACGGCTATTCGCTTTTGCATTATCCTCTGCGGTTTGTATATCGCAGCCGACGCCTTTATCTTGATGTTTCTTCTAACCGTCTTTCATATAAATAAGACTCTTTATTTAAAAATAATTAATAACAAAGTGGCGTCACGGTGGGCTTGAGCGTGTTGACGTCAGAGTAGGAGTGGAGGGGGTGGCCAAACCGCCTCCTATTCTACTCATATATAAATTACTGTAATCCCAAAGAGTTTTTATATTAAATTTCTCCCAAACTAATTTAGCGTGAGCATAATTTGAATCTGATATATGCTCATCGTTCAGTTTATTGTAGAATTCTTCTTTATTCGGCAGCTTTGTTTCATCCAACCGTTCAATTTTATCTAAATAATCAAAGAAGAACACTCCTTTTTTAGTTAACAACTTGAACGTTTCATCATCTAAATTTGGAAATTCTTTTCTTAAAATTCCAAAATTTTCCGGCTTCAAAGTTGAAACTAAGCTATCTAATGAACTCCCCATAAATCTAAAAGTATCAATGAAACGGAAACTAATATTTGTCTTTTTATTGTAAACTGTGAAACTAATATATTTTTCTTTGTTGACCGGTAAAATGGAAATGTGGTACATTTTCGCTAAATCCTTTATTATGAAATGCGAGTCGTATCCACTCATATTGTGGAGGGCTATTGGAACCACAAATGATTTTTTATAATTTAAATTGCATCCATTGTGTGCAAAACCTCTAAAATTGCCAGTCAAATGACAATGGTCTCTTACAATTCGATCCTTCTCCAAAAATTTTTTATTACAAATGTGACATTTCTCAGTAGCATCTTTTAAACTTACATCAACGTTTATGGATTGAATATCTATTAATTTTGAATAAATAAATTCAGATAAGTTGTCAATTTCACGCGAAAACAATGACATACAATCCAAACCCACATGGCTTTTTATAGAATGATAAATTATCATCATAATTACACTTAAAATATAATCCGGCACTGCACGCTGTGTGTCTTTGATATGGATATGTTGACGTAGTTGATGGTGTTGAGTGGGATGCGCGAAGAAGAACGAGCAGTGATTCAATATCTGCGTATACTATGAACGGCAATTTTTCTTGGTAAACAAAGTTTTTAAATCTAACATATGGTTCCTTGGTGAAACTTATTTTGCAGTCATCTATCTTTTCACAGTAGATGCTATGAACATCCAACTTTTCTTTTGTATAAAAATAATTAAGACATCTATCACATATATATATTTTTCCCATTGTGTTTAGAAAGTTGTGAATTGGCAAGTTTACCTAAATCTTTTATCCAAATATAGTAAAAGTGTATTATATCGTCATCATGTCCGTCACTCCATGGTTCGACGCTGTCCGCTTTATTATTAAAATAATATTTATTTTGAACTATTAACAGATTGACATGTCTTTCTCGTTTTTGTTTAGTTAATCTCACGGGAAGCACAGAAAAATTGAAATGCTCGTCTTTAACATTTAACTCGAAAACATTAACGGAAATATTTTCATTACTTTTTTCAAAGAGAGGAAGTTGATTTAGAGTTACTGGAAATGTAAGACTTTTTAAATTAAGGACATTGGTGTAATGGGGGTATGAAGTAGTTTTGTTAGTGTTTATGTTAACTGAATATAGTGCTGATACAATGGCCCATGCAAAACAAGCCTGATCGTTATTCATAACACTGATACAAGACCGTTTTCGGGCAACTTTAGGATGCAATTGAATATACGATGAGGCTCCTTTAGCCACTTCAAACTTATTAATATTTATTTCTAAAGAAATAATTTTATTCAGTGCCCAACTACTTTGAGATGCCTCAAATTCAGATAAATCATTCAAAACAACATTTTTAACGTAAACTTTAAACCAATATTTTAAATCGGTAGTCACATCAATAACTTTATTTTTAGTTTGAAAATATTTTCGTTCTAAAATTTCCACCTCTTCAGCTTTTTTTATAAGTTCCCCACAAAATGTAGTATTTACTTTTAGCATGAAGCATCAGCAAAAAACTGTAAAATATCTTTATGCTCTTTATTAATAATTATTCCTGTTTGTACTCTACTTTGAAAATTGATACTATATTTCTCCAAACAACCTTTGCTTTATTTGTACGTCTATTATTTAACCCACCGCCCGCAATAGAATTTAAATTTTGAATTATAATTAAAAATCTTTTGAGGATCCCTACATTGGTTTGAAGTTTTTGTAGCGTCCCTATGCTTAAATCGTCAGCCTTAATAGCTAAATTGCATAAACATATATGTTTTTTAACCTGTTTTACCCAATTTTTTGTTTCTCTATCCGAACAACGCTTTTTTAAAGAAAGTAATTTTTCAGTTTTATCAAATTTTTTAATAACCTCACTACTAAGAAGAGCGATTTCCTCAGAATTCATTTTTCAAAATTTTGGATATAAAAAATCTACTTACAGTTTTTCTTACATTTCACTTATTTCAAATGACGCCGCGGGATTAAGCTTGCCCGTGCTCACGAGTCCTCTGAAGATGACAGCGTACTTTTCAGTCTTCAACTGATCTATATAGGGGATGTAGTCCTCGGTAACCCGCTTCGGTAGGAATACCACAGCTTCCTCTAGTTCCAGAAGAACTGATTGTCCAAATGCTGTGTTGCAGATTTTAGAGTTTATTATTTTATACGGTTTGTCAACTTGTAATTGCTGTAGCCTTTTAATCGGCTTCGCCTCCTTCTGGATAACAGAAACTTTGTTTAGTTTGCTTAAATCCATCTGAAATAATTGTGAATGTAAGTTTATTTGCCGCAGTGCAGATTCTATTATTACAATAAGATATTGAAATGATATCTAAGGCTACAAAATCATACAATAGGATGCATTACGTACGAGTCTCTAATGTTCGTAAAATAAGGTAAACGGGGACCTGAACGCAAAATACACTCATACCTACAGAACATGCATAAGAATATCAACAAATACTATGCTACAGTAAAATATAAAAGAAAGCAAAGGACTTTTGAACAAAAGTAGCAAATGATTAATGTGATTGTGTCTATAAAACATTAAAATGGTGAAAAAGAAGAACCTACAAACTCATACAATAGGATGCATTACGTACGAGTCTCTAAAGTTCGTATAATAAGGTAAACGGGGACCTGAACGCAAAATATACACAACAAGACTAGAAACGAAGCACTTACCAGAATTTAAAAAAGAATACCGAAAAATACAGTAAAATATAAAAGAAAGCAAACGACTTTTGAACAAAAGTAGCAAAGAATTAATGCGATTGTGTCTATTGCAGGTCTTTGAGATTGACAAAACGAACGCCAAATAAACTCATAAATTCAGAATATACACAACAAGACTAGAAACGAAGCACTTATCGAAATTTAAAAAAGAATACCGAAAAATATAGTAAAATATAAAAGAAAGCAAAAGAAATTTGAGCAAAAGTAGCAAATAATTAATGCGATTGTGTCTATTGCAGATCCTTGAGATTTAAAAAACATTAAAATGGTGAAAAAAGCGGAAATTACAAAATCATATAATAGGATGCATTACGTATGAGTCTCAAAGTTCGTAAAATAAGGTAAACGGGGACCTGAACAAAAAATACATAAATTCAGAATATATCCAACAAGACTAGAAGCGAAGCACTTATTGAAATTTAAAAAAGAATACCGAAAAATACAAAAGAAGGCAAAAGACTTTTAAACAAAAGTAGCAAATAATTAAATAAAAAAATATTTACTTACGATTTTTAGTTGTATTGATCTCAATTACAAAACAGTTTCTGACTGTATTGACGGAAACTGAATGAAATAGCTATCCTCGATTTCTCTTTAAATAGTAAGTTAATCGGCTATTATAATTTACATACATAATTTATTACTGTGTTATAAAATTAGGCTGATGTAATATAAAAGTTATAAAAACTTACCAGAAAGTAAGATTCATAGCATATAAAACACAACGTTAAATAACATAATGTGATCTGAATTACTGAAGGCATTAAAACTTAAAAATTTTAAAATAACTTAAAAATTAAAGAACATGTTACAAAGTTTAAAAAGTAAAAAATAAGACGACATGTTTGTCAAAAAACAGTCGTCTTCGCAGGTTTGAATTCAGTCACATCTCACGAACAGAAAGAGGTAGTACGTGGACCTAGCCGGCAAATTATTGCAACAAACACGTATTTTCTACTTCTCACCCCTAGTTTCAACCCTATTACGACAGGTTCTTCTATACTTAAACTTCTTGTACATCACCCCCTACATCCCCAGAGGCTTCTACGGCCTCAACGCCGCATACCTAGCCATCAAACTGTCCGCCATCTTGGATCTCAAATTCTCATATCTCCTCTACTATTGGTGCCTCCAAGTCTTCTGTTTTTAATACTGTACTGTACAATGGATATGAGGACGTATGTTCTTTATTTACTTTAGCCGGATAGAGCGCACTAACTATTGTCCAATAAAAACATGCCTGATCTGAATTTTTTACGTTAATACAAGCTCACTTTTTTTGAATAGACTCTAGGAGTTTAATATAAGATTAACCATTTCCAATATCATATCGATTAATATTGATTTCTAAAGATACAATTCTATTTAATGCAAAACCAGAGTCATTTTCCTGAAATTCAGATAACTTATTATTTATTTTATCTTTAACATTCTCAAAAAAACATCGCTCGGTATCGGTAGATACGTCTAGTATAGCATTTTTTGTATTAAAATAATTAAAAGTTAAAATTTCCTCCTCCCAGATTTTTTAATAGATTCTCCACAAAAACAAACATTAACTTTAACAACTTTAGTTGCTTTTAAAATTTTTCCGATTTTATTTTTAAAAATAATATAACAGTCATTTAGGAAAAGTTCTAGGTCCTTATGATATAAATTAATTATTATAACTCCAGTTTTAATTCGACTATTGAACGCGGAAACAACATTTTCCCATTTAACCCTTGTTTTTAGTTTATTGTCTAGTCCCATACCCACATGTCTATTTAAAATAACCTGTTTAAAATGTCCGACATGCGTTTGCAGTTTTCTAATTGTACCTATAGGCAAATTTGCTTTTTTTTTATTACTTTATTGCAAGTTTTAATTTGTTTCGTTATGCGTTTCAACCAAACTTCTTCGTCTTTAGCTGTGAATTTATTAAAAACTATCTTTCTGACTCTTTTGATGAATAACAATAAATTTTCACATTGTTTAACAATATAAATAATGCTTACCTCTCTCTTTCTTCTGACCCTCTAGATGATTTCAAAGCTGGAGATAGGCTGGTATTTGCTCTCCACGTCCTCTCTCTTCCTTTTGACGCTCTAGATGATTTCAAAGCTGAACATAGGCTGGTATTTGCTCCCCACGTCCACCTGACCTCGGTATACTAAGGAGTATTTACCGAAACTAAACTCTGGCACTGCTGAAAGGTATGCTTCGGTCACCCGTTCTATTATTTAAGTTTATCTGTTATAAAAAGGTTCTTTTTAGTTTAATTTGTATTATATAATCAAATGCATAGAGTCCTATGTAACAAAATATTTTATTTCAAATTGTCCTAACTGACTCACTAAATGTAGAATGCAAGTAAATCAATTTTTGTTAACATTCACTTTTACGTAATAAAATTTAAGTAATTACATATTTTTTTATCGTCCCTATATCAATATTTTTAAAATAAAATGAGTTTTTCTTCCTCCTGTAAAACACACTTTTTGTAGATAGGACGTAATTCGTACCTCGACGTGTAAACATCGACGATTGCTGCTGTGTTTATTAATAGCGGTGAAATACGAGTTTACCAGTGAGTGATAACAGTAATTATAACGTACGTATTTAAACATTTTAAATTAGATTTGTTTAGTTTATTCGGATCTATAATTAGATCCAGTTTTTTGCTTTTTAGATTAATTAGAAACATCAATATTAATGGAGTAGCATAAACATCGAAAAGTAATAGCCGGCTACCTGTGGTGCCGGCAAAATGTTTAAATATAAACAACACTCTAAACTAAACAAATATAAACAACACTCTAAACTAAACAAATAATAATATTTCATAATATTGTTTCTGCTTCTGACTACGTAGTAGCAGTAACGTGCAAAACAGTCAGCTTCAAATATGTCTCAAACTACAGATAATGCAACTTCTAGACAAACAACTTCGTATGCATCCATAGTAACATCCATAGTTAAACCTTCGTTTCCAAAGCACAACCAAGCGGTAGTATTACATGCTGATCAAAACCTTAAATTACATGACTATGTTAGAGCTATAGGCGATATTATCGGTCGTAAACAAATTTCTTTTGCTTCTAGGATATCCCATAATAGGATATGTATTTATCTTACCAATTCCAATCTAGTCGAACAGTTATTGACATCCTATCCAAATATTCAGATAGGGAACATTACCCTAAATATTCGCAGACTGGTTTCCCCTACAAAAAGAATTGTCATATCAAATATTTCCCCAACCGTTCTGCACGATTTAGTAGAATCTGCCATCAAAAATCTTGGGCTTGAGTTAGCTTCCCCGGTTTCCTTTTTAAGAGCTGGTATCCCAGGCGATGAGTACTCTCACATCCTTAGCTTTAGACGCCAAGTATATGTTTTTTTTCCAATACAGATAATTTTGAATTACAAACGTCAATTGTAATACCTTTTAAAGGTATTGACAACAGAATCTTCTTATCTACAGATAAAATGGAGTGTTTTATCTGTAAACAACCAGGACACATTGCTTCTAAGTGCCCTAATCCTCCAACTGTTAATGTAACCCAAACTCCCAATTCAAATCCCGAATTATCCACGAACACAACCCCTTTACTAGATAACACACAGTCGACAGACACCTCCAGCGCGACCCCTATTACAGATACTGCACAACTGGACACAACTACCGCATTAAATCCAGCACTTAAACGAGGTCGCTCAGAAGTATCGACGGTCACGAATGATAACAGTTCGAACTGTTATTTAGAAACTTATGATAAACTGGT